TCGGTTAAGTAAACCGTCGGAAATCCGTCGGTTTAGTAAACCGTCGGAAATCCGTCGGTTAAGTAAACCGTCGGAATCGGTTTAGTAAACCGTCGGAAATCCGTCGGTTTAGTAAACCGTCGGATATCCGTCGGTTTCGTAAACCGTCGGAAATCCGTCGGTTTATTAAACCGTCGGATATCCGTCGGTTTAGTAATTTGTCGGAATTCCGTTGGAACTCCGTCGGACAACGATATACTGACGGATTTCCGATGGAATTTCTATTTCCGACGAGATAGAAACGACCGACCAAAACCGTCGGAAWGCCGTCGGAAAAGGGYTGTTTCCGACGGAATTCYGACGGTTTTGGTCGTCGGAATTCCGCCTGTTTTCTTGTAGTGTTAATTGCGTGATTAGTAACATATCTTCTTCCTCTTGGTCGAAAGATCCTCGGAAGTTTTGTGTAGAATTCATATTTAGTATTCTTTTGAAAATGAAGAATCAGACGTGCAATGAAAGAGAGAAAAAAGGAAAATGGTTTTGTGTAAGTTATCAGTTATGAGCTGCTACGTACATACATATTCACGATCAGTTAGAGTGTTGTAGTATTCTGATTTATTAAAGGAAAATGAAGAATCTTTTTAATAATAATAATAATGTCACGATCAGTTAGACTGTTGTAGTATTCTGACGATAGGCTAATTTTACAACAACTTTTTTTTTTTGAAAAAGAAAAAAAAAGATAGGATCTTAGATTCGGGAGATCTATTGTCCAACAACTTCAAATGAAATATTATAGAGAAAGTGGTATTATGACAGATATTTTCATGGCGTGATTGGCATGCAAATCAGCTATATATATTAGTTTTATATAAGTCTCTTTTTATAACCTAATCAATTTTTATATAAGAACATAATTGGAGTTACTAAGGAGGTGTTATTGGATTGGTAATTTCAATGTATTTTATTGTATTTGTATTCTGAAATATTTTGTTGGGTTTTGATGAATTCACGGAGACCCACTACGATTCATTGGTACTTTTATGTATTTTACTGTATTGTATTTTGTTGGATTTTGATATTTGTAATTACAAAAAAAAACTGCAATTTGTTTCTCAAAAAGTCTACTGTACACCAAAATTATTCTTCCATACATATACTATTTACAAGTTTGATAGCTTAATTTCACATATGACCTTACAATAACCCTGCAACATACCAAAATAAGGATCTGAAGCAAGAATTAAGAAGAAACCCAATATCAAATCAACCACGACATAGCCAATTGCAGAAG